TAGTGCAACTTCTAAAAAACTCCAAGATATTGTATTATCAACCTTTCTCATGTCCAGCTTCATAAGACATCCAGAAAGACCATTTTGTCTCTTACACCCTCTAACCAATTCTTGGCAAATTAAAATATTTGTTATAATAGATGTAGCCTAAAAAGGATAGGTGAAAAATGTAAAACAATCTAAATTTTGTTATATTCACATTTCAAAGTGTGAGAGGGGCAAGCTGATTTATTTGCGAAATCAAAGGAAATTTCAACAATTTAAAATATTTTCTTGCAAAATAAACTTTTACCACCTGTCATTCTAGTTACCAAAAATCTTTAGAATCATACTTGTTGGAATTGCTTCTGATTTTCCGCAACTAAATTAACTCCATATGAGAGACTTCTTGATTTTGTAGAACGATCAATCTCCTCTTTTTCACATCGAAGAAGTTTTCTTGATAAAAGTGATCCATTAAAATTTACTAACAAGTGCATTAATCACTCGAAGTAAAAAGGATCAAATTATAAAATGATTAATCTTATTATGAGAGGAAGAAAGATGAGAGTTAGATCACATAATCGTTGATCTGATTGTAAAAGGGAGGAATATTATGCTATTATGAAAATTGATTAACTAAGGAGAAATCAATTTATCAATTAATTGATTTCAAGAATTTGTCATTAATTGTAATCTCATTAATAGAAGATTTTCAATCAATTGTTATATCTTTATATTATATATCTTTCATCTTATAAATAGGATTGCTTATATGTAAAAAAACAATAAAGAGAAATAAACGTATAAAGCCCATAGACACTTTTGTACTGTAGACTAGGAAGCTTTGATGCACCATGATATCGTGGTATTATTTTAAACCACATAATATTGTGTCTTACTCTCTCTCACTTATTTTTTATTTTACTTATATTATTGCTACGTTATTTTTTATTTTATTTATATTATTGCTACGTTATTATGAGATTTCTAAATTTCTTCATAATATCAAAGTAGGTCAATCTAAGACTGCACTTAGCTTTTCATGTGAAAATTGGGTAAGGTTTATTTTTGTCCCTTTTTTTTTCATTTTCCCCCACGCCTTCTATCTTCCAATCTTCCTTAAAAAATAGATAAAAAAAGAAGAAGAAGAAGAAGGAGAGAGACGAATAAAAAAACCCAAAAAACCTTCTTTTTATCTCTTTTCATAAGCCTACAAATAGAAGAGACTATTCGGCCATCTTCTTAAAAAAAAATAAAGAAGAAGAAGAGATCCATTGAGAAAAAAAAAAAAAAAATTCTACTTTCTTACATTCTTACAAGGACAAAAAAGACTAGAGGATACCATTTGGTTATTGTCATGCCTCAACTTAGGGGTTAGGACATGATAATGCCACATACCTTTAGGAGTGACCCCAAAAGCATGTAAGGCTAAGTCAGTCTCTAAAATTCATCCCTGCAACTTTGCATAAAATTTATTCTTCACTTTTAAGAAAATTAATAGAAAAAAATATATATGATAATAATACTCCATCATCTAAAGCCAATTCTACACCAAGAATCTCAAGTATAACTAGCACTAAATTAAAATCTCTTTATTTCAAATGTCCACAAATGCTAAGTATAATGGGAAAGAAGTAAATAGTCTATTTCTAAGGTGGCTCTCTATTTCCCCTACCTCCCAGATGCTCCATGTTTAGTATCTGAAAACATTAAATAAAACAATGTGAGCTCCACATGCCCAATAAGTAGCATACCCAACTAGTATGACCAAGCATAATTATTTTAATTAAAAAGTGATATAAAATAAGTAATGAAATTATATTGGATGAAACAAATATAAAGAACTCATCAGTAAAACAATTTCTCAATCCCACATGGCTGTGGCACATGAATATCTACTGGTCGTTTGATACTCTATTACGACAAAATAAATATAAAAAAAATGAACTGTTCAATGGTCTAACTTAGTTTACTGTTCGATAGTCTAACACAGTTTATCATTCGATAATTTATTACGGCACGATAATCTAAAATGATTCCCGACGATTCTATGCAAAACAAGTTACCTTAATTTCAAATAAATTTCCAATTCCAAAGTCTCTATATCACAAAACTATCAAATCCCCTCATCTCAAATAGTTGACAACCAACATGCTTAATCCACATTTATTTAAAGAAAGAAAATGATAAATAAATATACACATAAATAAGTAAATGCATTCCAAAAGAAATACCACAAGGAAAGAAAAGAAAAAGAAAAAAAAATATATACTTAGATTTCAAATAAATTAATTTCACAATAACAAGTGAAAGAATAATTTATTTTTCTAGCATTTCAAAAAAAAAGTAATGCCACTTATCTCAGTTATTGACCTGGCACCAGTGAATGCAAAGCCAATAATTATTTAGACCCTTTTTCCTACAAACAATTGTTCATTTCAGCCAAATTCCACACACTGTATGCCTCTATTTATGAATCAACATAATTCCAAAAATCCCTACTCAATTCGCCACCCACTAAGCAGCTTTCCCTCTTTTACAATTTTTGATATAATAAAATACTCATTAAATTTCACACATTAGCCATGAAAGCTTCCCCACTTGTCTGGCCCGCCAAAGAATAAATGGACAACCACAATAAAAATTCAATATACCATGCTAAACTTGCAAGCCAACCTCATAAGACTACTTTAGACAAGTCAATTTCCATTAACTTAACAACCCAAATAAAACCCAAAGCCCTCTTCAACAGACCCATCCTTTCCCAAAATCTATTCCACAATTTCAAGATAATTCCTAAATTAAAACCAAGAAATCACTATAAATGTCACGCCCCAGAACCCGAATCCGAGACGCGACAGACGCCGTGCACTCGTGAGAGGGTCTCATAAATGCACAAGGCTCGAAACTTATCCAATTCACAAAATCTCAAGAATAAAATTAACCTTACAAAAGGATGATAAAATCTAAAACTTATACCACAATTGGAATGGCTAGCCTTCTAACTCGTCACTCCCCTCGGTTTCCCCGTCCTCAGTTTCGTTTCCTGAAATGGTGGACAAGGAAAATTATGAGATAACTCAGTAAGTAAATATGGATAGCCCTTGGGTAAAACTTTTAAGCATGCCAAATAAACCATATAAACATAACAAAGCTTTCAATGATAACTCGTTAAAACAAAATCAGATTCAGTTCAATAGCCAAAACGTTCAGTGCCAAAACCGTTAATGCAAAATCCAGTTCGATTCAATAACAAAGTGTTTCATGACAAACCGTTCATGCGGAATAAAACCCATCAGTAGTCTCATCTATAAGTCATGGCCAGTGTTTAACAAACTCCCACTGGCAAGCGTCAGTAATAGTGCCAGTGTTTACACACTCCCACTGGCAGGCGTTAGTAATAGTACCAATGTTTACAAACTCCCACTGGCAGGCGTCAGTAATAGTACCAGTGTTTACAAACTCCCACTGGCAGGCGTCAGTAATATTACCAATGTTTAACCCCATTGGTAGGGTTTCAGAAGTACCAGTGTTTACAAACTCCCACTGGCAGGCGTCAATAATAGTACCAGTGTTTACAACTCCCACTGACAGGCGTCAGTAATGCCCAATGTTTAACCCCATTTGCAGGGTGAACCAGTTCTACAAAAATACATGTCGACATGTGCTAGCGTTTACAGCTCCCACTAGCGGGCGTCAGTAATCATGACTATATCTGAGACAAAACCATGCAGGATTTACAGAAAAACCCAAATTTCACAATCAATCTCCCATTTCAGAAATAACCAGAAAGTTTCCATGTGAGCATGGATTTAACAGAAAACTCAACATTTACAAAATTCTCAATTCCTCAAAGCAGTTCAGTCAATTTCCAAATAGGCATGCTTAACTCCAGAAACAATAAAATTCTCATTTTCATTTCAATCATGCTCAATTTCAGAAAATCAATAAAATCCCCATTTTCATTCCAATCATGCTCAATTTCAGAAAATCAATAAAATCCTCATAAAAATCATCACAATTTCCATTTCAGTTTAATCACACTCAGATGCTGATAAAATCGGTTTAAAGCTTGCCACCATCTCAAAAATAATTTAAAACATGCTTTAAAATCAAAGGGCTTTACCATCATTTACTTACCTCACTCGCACAGAACAGAAGGCTAACCCAAGTGCTACGGTAACAGAACGATCAAAACCTAATCACAATATTCCACAATTAATACCGTGGTACCACAAATTCACAATAAAATCATCATTAGCACTACCCCTAATCACCGTGCCATTTCTATCAATCTCCACATAACCGGACATCTCCAAATCCATTCTTATATCACAAACTAAACCTTTAAATCCCCGTTAATCGTTGACCCTCGGTGTGTGAACAGTACCTACGAACAGTACCGTGAACAGTAACTTCAACTCCCAAAATTGGCAAAACATAGCTAATTCACGGGGTTTTCACACAGCAGACAATTAACACTCTATCATATAAATCCCACTTGAATTAATACTTAAACTTCATCCTAAAGCTACCGGAATTATCCCCAAATTTTCTATCAAATTCGGACAACACAGCCAGCAAACTATATGGATAATTTCAAGCTTAAACGGCTGTCACATACCATAATTCTCCAGCTAAAACCGGAGCTGCAGATAGGGGAAAGGCCGGCGGCATGGAAGAAGAAAGTTCATGGGCTCACGGGAAATCTATCAAAATTCTGGAGAAACAACATATTTAACATGAACCCAAGCTAATTTAAGGCTAACAAAGGGATTTAATGGTTGTTTCTTACCCAAAACCCAAGCAATTCGCCCCCACAACAAGAGCAGCCGGCGGACAGGGCAAAGCAGATCCGGATTTTCCAGCAGGGGGGGAGAATTTCTGGGTTCAATTTGTGTTCTAGAGCAAGAAAAGAAGGAGAAACCCAAGCTTTGCCGGTGTTCCCGGCCGGAAATGGGTGGCGGTGGCTGGGGAGCTTCAGTCGGCTGCAGGGGACGGAACAGAGCAGAATCGGGATTTTCTGGGTTGAGAGGGAAGATTCTAAGTCCTAAATCTTGTTATTCAACAAGAAAAGGAAGGAATTTGATCAAGATCTCACCGGCTTTTCAAGGGGGAAGAAAGTCGGTGGCTTGGGGGCTTCGGTCGGCAGAGGAGAAGAAGAAGAGCAGATCGCGTGGATAAGGATGAAGAAAAAGAAAGAAAAACTCAGCCATCCTTATCCTAATTTCCTTTCTTTTTAAGTCCCTCAACTTTTAAAATTTTGTGATTAAACCCCAAAACAATATTTTTCCTCAAATAAATCCCCAATTTAATGCTAAAATACCCCAAAATTTTGGGATATTACAATAAAACTAAGAAAATTTACCTTGAATGGACTTGGCAACTATTTTTCCCCAATTTGTGCAGTCACCTTACTGCTTTTTTGAGTGAGGAAACCCACAGCCCCTTCCCCCGATTCTGCAGAATAATAGAATAACACGCAATCCTTAAATTTCTAGGTTAAGTTTTGCACATTTTACAAGCCACTCCTTCATCTTTACCACCATTATACACATAAGTCCTCATATTTCCACATTATTGCATACACATCCTTAAGGAATTAAATAATAATAACAATAATAAAAATTCTGGGTATTACAGTTATCTTCTAGAGTTCTCTTTGCAAGCAAAAAAGTTATTGCCAATTTTTCAGAACGAGCAAAATCAACCTTGAAAATGATTTGCAAGCAAGTTGAATACTTGATTAACATCTCTATGTATAAAAGGAAGAAAGATGAGGATTAAATCATGTAATGATTCATCCAATTGTAAAAGAAAAGAATATCATACAATTATAAAGATTGATTAACCAAGGAGAAATTAATTTGTCAATTGATTGATTCAAGGATGTGATAATGATTTTAATCTCATTAATTAAAGATTTTCAATTATTGTTATTTCCTTGTATAGAAGAAAAGAAAAAAGAGAAATAAATGTGCAAAGCTCGTGAAGGCTTTTGTACCATAGACTAATAAGACCTTGATGCATCATGTTCTGACACTATTTTGAACCATGTCATATCATTTGTTCCTCTCTCTCACTTATTTTTTATTTTATTCATGTTGTTGTTATGTTATCATAAAATTTCTACTATTAAAGATTTCCTCACTTTATTAGAAATTTCCTCATCAAATAATATAATGATAACTAGTTTTTTATATTTTTTATATTATTTA